GTGTCGAACACAACAGGCGAGTAATGAATTAACCGGGAAGGGTGGGAGGGGTCACCTGTCTATCCACGCCTTCTTCCCCTTAAACGTTGTCGTTGTCGATGTTGTGTCGAACTGATAAGCACCCACACACTTACACTAAGTGCTGCCTATATCAACTAATTGACGGATGACTCTTTGCATGATAATGACTCCCAGTCCCTATCCCTGCTATTAGTGATATTGACACCCTGTCAATCAACTGAAGCAGGACAGGCTCTACTGCCAGTTAGTGCATGTAAATGTGAAAACGCCACACCGTTTCCATTCCGGATGGTTTTTGCTTCATCGATTAATGTATCTGCAGATTAATCAATGTCGAGTTTCAATCAATGTTATTTACATGTAACTTGTCACATGTGTTTATCATTCTGCAGTGAGACGTTTCTCGCTGGTCCCTCTCCACGTCAACTACATTTCGGATACATGAACATAGCTTTGTGTGTCTAGTCTCTAGTCTCCACAAAGACTAGTCACAAAATCCCATAATCATAATGAGTGAGTGAGTGAGTGAGTGAGCACTGTTTAACGCCGCTTTTAGCAATATTCCAGCAATATCACGTCGGGGGACACCAGAAATGGGCTTCACACATTGTACCCATGTCGGGAATGTGTGTGTGTGTGTGTGTGTGTGTGTGTGTGTGTGTGTGTGTGTGTGTGTGTGTGTGTGTGTGTGTGTGTGTGTGTGTGTGTGTGTGTGTGTGTGTGTGTGTGTGTGTGTGTGTGTGTGTGTGTGTGTGTGTGTGTGTGTGTGTGTGTGTACTACACTAATTAAGTTAAGTAACGCCCGATTCTTTCATATCACTACAGTTAAACTGTCGTGGTATATCAGATTAACTTTTGCAATATGAACGAGTCGAGTGGTCCTTAACTGTTTTATTGGTATAATATCATAGAGACGGTGTTTTTATTCACTTTGTATGTTGTCATCAGTGCTATTTCCTTCATACGGTCAGAACTGTGTCACGATCTTAAACTTCATATTCCGTCAAGGTGGTACCATCAACCTGCTAATTATAACAGCAATCACGCCACATCGACTTCTTCCTTTGGAAAACGTAACGATCATACATTAACACCAAATCCAAAATAATGTCTTCTGTCCTAAGCGTTTGCTGTTCTCGGTTAACATGTTAAACGACCTTTTTCCACGTACCTAACTTATACTTTCAGATAAAGGGAGAATGTGAACGCAAACGGTATTGTTCAGAACACGTAACCTTCAAAATCCATCTAAAGTAAAACGGGGTAATGCCCCAATTTTCTCTCATGTTGAATTCTCGTTACTAAGAACTTCCAAGACGATGTAAGTAGTGTACCGAGTATTCTTATGGTTGTTCATCACGACCTCTCCTTAATATTGGTCCCTGTGGATCCCAGCACACACGCGCCTAATGATGGGTTGTTGTACTTACCAAACTGGATAGTTCTTCTGTCTATAGAAAGGCGCCTAAAACGCCTCTATGAGTAATCGCCGTCCAAATTAGTACTCGGTCACTATTGATGTTTAATTCCTTCATATTATTCTCCTCATTAATACACTACAAACATTAAGTTAGCTTGTCCTGTCGGAGATATGACCTCAAGATCCGCTAGTTGTCGATAGTTTACGCAATTATGAACAATAGAAAACCAACGTGAACAGTCAGCAAATCCTTGAATCATTTTAAATTTAGTGGCCGTTACCAAGATTTTACATAGAAGTGTTACACGGTTGAAAAATAACTGAAATAACACCGATCGGAAAACTTCTAGTTTTAAAAACAACCGCAGATTGAAATAGTTTTATTATTAAATAGTATTTTCATTTCTATGTATTGCACTATCTAGATATGTTTCCCGTTTTCTATATACGAAATTGTAGAATCAATTCTAAACAATAACAATTTATATTCGATATCTTGCACAAATAACATCATCTTAGGAACGATTGGACCTTTTGCACATAAACGATAACTTAATTACACTTCCCCTTCGAAGCCAATGATAACACAATTTCCCTTGGAGCCAATGCATAGAAGAGGTCTTCTTGTAGAACCTTTCGAAACCCTACGGGTGTGTCAAAGCATGAAATATCGCATTTTACGACTGTCTGACTATGCAATCGTGCATCTCTACCACTGTGAAGCTGCACGTCACTCTCCCTCCCTGTGTCCGACACAAAAGATTTGATCACTGGCCACCTTTAGCATGTTCTGTTGCTTGTGATGCCAAATCAATAGCACCATGCTGCAGCGAGCGATGTTGGCGTTCGGCTATGACAGTGGTTCCCTTTAATACTGGAGCACAATTGAAGAGATGGAGGCAGCTTCGGGATGAAGTTAGTGGGCGATATACCAAGAAGCACAATATGTTCTCATTTTATTATTGAACACATTACTCAGAACGACTGATCTAGAAAGGCCGTGTATTCTGTTCATTGCACGTGAACTGCATTCAGTCTGTAAGATACGCCCTTGTTGATTTGTTGTCACATACAGTTGACTGTGTAATCTGGCACTGCTCTAGACCGGGGGGAAATGTCGGATTAGGCAGACGCCGGATTAGATAGTTTCATGGCTGAATTCACCATCAGTCATTCACTCAGTTAGTCCTTAATCCAGTATACCAATTAAGGAAATGATTAAGAATCCCCTTGTTACACCAAACATAACAGTTAATTGGTTTTAACCATTGTTAAGCGTTAATTGAGCGTTTATCAGGCTGTATACTAAATGCATGTTCTAATGCTCAAGTAAACACCATCACTTAAGAGGGCAAACACAATACAACAACAATTAGGTGTATATTGAAGTTGTTCTAGTGTTGATGTATTACACAAAGTGGATTTTCTCATGGAACCACAAAACATTGTCGAATTTGGAGTAGACAGGTGCCGGATTACACAGAATGTTTTTATATGATAATATAAGGGCTGTTCTGGGACACAAACTGTTTGTCGGATTAGACAGAATGTCGGACTATACAGGGTCCACTGTATTTATTAATAGCTGTATCATTCACCCATGCATTCATTTCTTTCTTCAGTTATGTATAAATATGTCCGTTTAATATATTATATATATATCTTTATTCATTATCAGCAATACTCTGGCTTCATATTTCCATAAAACGGTTGAACTAGTCGGCGTCGTATGTAACGAAGTCGGATATGTGTATAACCCAACCAATATCTAATGACAGTTACTGTAATAATACATGATTATATAGGTATTATCCATATTATCAAGATAAATACCCAGGACCCATTCGCCAGCATAGCTTGGTTTCGGAAGTGACTAACCATCTCTATCTCTCCAATCATTAACGTAGCACACAATCTCTCTCGTTCATGACACTAGTGTGACTGGGACGTTATTTTATGCGTCGTATATTTGCTATCGTAATCAGAGTGCTCTGATACAGAAAGGGTCCCGCGTCCAATGGGTCGATTTATCATAATAGAATGGGTATATCCAGATAATACCCCCGATAAATGAGGATGATATTCATGTGAACAACGAACTTCGGATGTGCCATAGCGTGAACCGACGTTGGGTATTCGGGTTTTATTTGCTGTTAAATGCGGAAGTTAGCAATATTCCACTGATGTCAAGGTTGCTGTAATGAATTGTGTCTGGACCAGAGAACTTCCACAGGTTGAAATGAGCGACGTCCCACTCAGTTGGAGTACAATGACAAGCAATAAGCTAAGACAACGAACCTGGCTATCCGATCCATTACGTCGCCTCTTGCGACAAGCAATCGGACCTATTGTAACCCTGGTCCCCAAAGGGTCTGAACAGTCAATAAGGCGCTGTGTTCATTTGTGCTGACCTCTCGAATACTGAAGGTGAGGTTAGGTGAAATGGGGTTTAGCGTCGCGTCCAAAATTTATGCTCTTACATAGCGACATGCATGCACACGTGTGTGTGTGTGTGCGTGTGTGTGTGTGTGTGTGTGGTGGCTAGAACTAGTCCGGACTTATCCCGATTTATAGTGCTAGCACACTGAGATACCATGCCGCAGTTTAACATGAATACCTCACTCAGACACGGTATACCGACCAGTCCTTGTTTTAGCCCCTTAATGCCGAGCGCCAGACATGATAGCAGCAAGTACCATCTTTTAACGTCTTTTGGTATGACGCGGCCGGGGATCGAACCCCGGACCTTCCGCTCTCCGGGCGGACGCTCTACCACTAGACCACGGAGGCGGTCATCCAATACTGAAGCATCAACCTGCCTATAGGTCCCCTGTCTGCGTGTAATCTATCTAATTAGGATCGGGTGGCTTACGTTTGGGACCGAGCTAACTTCGTGTCATCGTGCACCTTCGGCAGGAACGGGTGTTCATGCTATTTACCACTGGTTTGTCTGACCCAGACGAGTTATTTGCAGACAGCCTTGATAGATACTGTTGTGTGTGACTAAATGTACAAATGTCTTTACAAAGTAAGGTCATATGATTTCAAATATCGTTGACATGTCGTGATGTGTTACTGAAGACATACAATTGTGAGTGAGTGAGTGAGTATGGTTTTACGCCGCTTTTAGCAATATTCCAGCAATATTACCGCGGGGGACACCGGAAATGGGCTTCACACATTGTACCCATGTCGGGAATCGAACCCGGGTCTTCGGCCGCCTCTAAAATTGTAAATACTTCACATTCTTATATACACTACTTTGAAATATTGACGATGTATAAACCCATGTTAACTGTAATGTTTAACAATATGTTGAAATCTGTTTGAACTCAAATGGGAACTTGACCTACTTAAGAATAAAGAGGAAATTCATAAAACAACAATACAATTGAAGCTTCTTAAAGCAAATAATTGTAAAAGCAGCTATTAAAGGTGTAAAAATATAACACTTAGTCACTTGTTTCATCGAAGTTGATGAAAAGGGAATTTATCGATATTGTCATGAAGAGCGTGGTATTGATATGACATAAATCAATTATTATATATTTACGTCCAGAACTCATGTCCTCGTCAGATGTAATGTTGAAAGTATTATGATGAATTCAAAAGAAACATGTCTGAAGTACCGAGTGTCGTCACGTATTCCTGAACACCACACAAAAAGAGGAATCTTTGCAACACGTAAATACAACTGAATAGCTGTACCCAGAGATCTAACGGGATCATATAAAAGGACAGCGTCTTGTTTTGGTCGTCTCTGAAAATAAGGAGTCACAGCTGCATTGCCGATACTTCAAATAAATATATGAGCTTGTGCTGAACTGATCCAAATTAGAAGATAAATATAATATTTCCGGGGATTGAAAATACCCCGCAAGAAAACACAAATCTGAAAACATGTTATATCATCGACATTGAAAAATACACTGCCGGGCAAAGGAAAGTATACACTTGAAAACTGGATTTGACCAAAAACGCACAAACGTTATTGAAACATTTCCAGACTGAAAATAATCACTGAAACACTGCAAACAAGGTCTAAAAGAAAACTATTGTAAATACATCACCATCGAATAATCATTGTTTGTTATATTTTTAGCCACCATCAAACATAGGTGTATACTTTCTTTTGCCCAGCAGTTTACAAAAGTTATCAGTCATTTACACACTCTCTCTTCGTATTTCCCATAGTTCAGAGACAGACATGACGTCATTTTGAAATGATATGACGTCAACCTGGTAAGTGATGACATCATAATACAATGGATGACGTCACCTGCTTCCGTGACAGCTGAACTCGCCCGGTAAGCAGAATGTTGAAAAAATAATTACTAAATCGATTTTGTTCTGACAAATATTGATCAAACTGTTTTTATTTAATTAACGTCTATTTCGCCAAACCGAATGACAAGTTGTTCAAATACGTGATTAAGGTAAACTACTTATCAAGAAAGTAATCATGCGCAGTGAATAGTCCAGGATTCGAATCCCATTTAATCACGTCTTTCAACCAATCAGATTGCCGCAAACACCCCTTTTACATTTAACATTAAAATCCATAAAAAAACACCTAGTATGCAATTGATTTCTAAGAAATAACCAAGTCGCGAACGGTGTGATCAAACTGTTTTTTCGAACATAAAAAAACATTATTAGCATGAGAAGGTGACAAAGATAAACAGTCCGAATCTGAATCATGCATGTGAATTTTGAATCATATTTATCTTCAATAGTTAGAATCTACAATGATTGTAAAGAAAGAAAACGAGAACGAAAACACTCTACAGTGGCATGTTTAATATATACACTGATATGGTTTCAGTGCATACACAAAATGTCAATTTCATGAAAATTACAAGGCATCGACTTTGAACTTCGACACGGCTATTGCATACTGGATGATTTAACCACGAAGAAGAGAGCAAAAACAGCAGTTTCATTTGTTTATCTATTGCTTGCATGAACTTGTCACGTTAAAACATTTTCTCGTCCATTTCCATCGGTTTTTCAAATAGAACCGATGGAAATTGACACATAACATAGTTACGATGATGAACATTCTTCTCATCTAAACCCCTAATCATCCTATAACAAATCAGAATATCTATGAATCTATATTCTTACATTCAATAACATGAAATAATGCTCTTGAAGACTCGCCATATAGTTATGATAGAAGATTCCTCGAAAGAAACAATGTGGATTCAGACAAAGAATCTGATTCAGCAAATTGGCAACAGTGTTACCAGATGTATACAGTTTGAACTGGGTTTCAGGAAATACTAATGGAATAAACGCTGATATCCACGTTGCATTGTTTGTGTTACAGAGGCAATATATGAAACATAAATGTTGAAACCCATTGTCACACACACAACTTAGAGATCTTCACATCTCAGCGACTTCAATCCGAAAAGGACAGTTTTAACACATGGTGTCATCACTGAGTTACAGTCATCCATTCATAAAATATTCACCGCTATTTTGCCTTTTACACCCAGAGGAATCTGTTCTACGGATAATCGAGTCATATTCTGGCGATGACGTTCATATTTACACAAGCTCACTTCTTTGGATGACATGAAAGATATAAAACAGATCGCCATGTACTTTTATCATTGATATATTCGAAGTTCTTATTGCACAATTGATGTTTGATAATAAGCACTTTCTCTTTTTGACAAACAAGTTTATTGCCGAAGTCCATCGCCATAATAACTATGTCAGTCAAGTCTCATGGACGACAGTGTCTCGGGGCTTCCACATCAAGCTCTTTTGTAGGTCAGTTCCGTTAATTTCCTTGTCCTTCAAGGGAAGTCACATCGTCTGTCACATCCCCCTGTCACCGGCGTTATTAGGTCAGCAACATTTAATCAACCATCCGCTTCTGCTTAGTTCCATTGAACTGATCGTCTTCTGTGAGCTCGACAACAACGTCACAACCTTGAGTCTCCACAATACGTTACACCTTCCATCGAGAATAGGACACCCAGTACACTACATTGAAGATCAAAAACGTCACAGGAAATAATACCCTTGAGGACTTATCAATCTGGCTGACGCTGTTAATGAAGCCAGTCATATCCTTTTTCTTAAAGCCATAGTACACCTTTGTATGTGTGATGCAGTGGAGACAGTCGCACACCTTGGCAAGCAAGATCCTCCCAAAGTTACCACCCTTAGCAGGCTTCGGCATGTGTGATCCGTCAAGGCCATTAGATTCGAGGTCGGGGCATTCTTGTTCTTCTTCAAACGTCTGGTAGGAAATAAATAAGAACAGACAATGAACACAAGGTCACGGTCAAGGACATTTGTGTAAATATATTGGGGTAAGTAAATATGCAAATATCAACGGGAGTTGTACCATTAGGTTTATACTCAACTATATATTGTACCATACCATTTAAAGCTGTTTTCATACTGTAGTAATTATGATGACATTGAAGATGAATTTCATGGGGGTTTTTTTGTTTGTGAGGCCTACAACGCTGTAAACGCCTGAGCAATTATACAAGGTACCCTACTGCATTTCACACTTTTACAAAATTAATTATGTCAAAGAGTTTTGATATCATTAATAATACAAGCTTGTATGTATACAGTGTTCAAAATACAAGGAATTGTTATATGTTTTCTCTTTGAGTGTAAAAGACTAATATGCTCATACAAGTAAACCTTCATATTTTTGTATTTTGGGTCAGTGAATACTGAATCAATTGTCAATATTCTTGATTTTCTAAAATGTATCTTTTCCTTGTAGAATTATTTGTTTATCATAACAATTTACCAACCATTCTCGGCGTCCTTCGAAATATGGTTATGAGTATTCATCTAATCAGTTAAAACATGTATATACATGTATTATCCCGAAATTGTAAAACGGGCAATGTACAGTTTTTTGCAATGTATAAACTTAATTTTGAACAAAGATAAGCTGTTTAAAAATAAGGAAAGCAGAATCATTGGACTTAAATTAAGTTCTACAGTATGAATGGTCAGGTATATTTTCCTCGTTCCCTGGGGAAATTCAGGATGTCATTGTTCTGCGATGTTATCCGTTATGTATAGCCTGGCGAGGCTCGTTGTAGCTGGAAGCGCTCGCCTGTAAAGGGATTAATTTAAGTTTTTATACGTATCAGAGTGGTAGTCCCAAAGTGACTCTGTCCGAAAACGTTTATCTCATTGGTCGGAACTACTAGTACGGATGTGGGATTGGAACCATGCAAGCGGATCCTGGCACAGACAAGGGATGTTATTCTGCACGACGAGTTTTTGGATCGTAAGAACACTGGTTCCCTCAAGAGATATTAGGAAAGCGCCCAGACATCTAAATTTGAGTCATGAGTACAAACAAACTCCCTATGGCATTCCAGTTACATTCACACAGTTGGATTTCGTTCTAGTTTACATACGCAAAGAATAGAGTAACATTGTATTGAGGCAAGTTTGTTTTGCTAAGGCCACTTTTTCATAATTCTTTTCTCTCTCTCTCCGTTTTTGAATGCTATGGCAATGAATACTGGATAGAACATGATTTTAGTCTTATCGAAACCGTGTTCGTCAGTAAGTGCTATTTGCAAATTCATTGTAACGTATTTACGTTTTGAAATAGAATCCGCAAAGACGATTAGACCGCCATGCCACATGTGAGATATCTGTATCATTAGTCGTTCTGTGGCAGACAAGACTACACTATCTTTTCACACATTGTGGATTAAGAAACATTTCATAGCAAACACCAATACTTCATATGAAGAATATTGGCCATCGAATCGACATTTGCGGCTAAAACCTTTGCGTTATAAAGGCTTTCATCTAGTTTTCTCCACAACTGTGAAACAAGGATGAACAGACCTCACTAGAGGGAACTGGAAACTTTATGTTTCACGCCTATTGATCATGCTGGCAAAGAACTCGACACATCCAAAACAACAGGAATACGTGAAACATTTGCAGCTGTATTAATTCAAACGTACAGTTCTGTGTTGTGTGTATACAGGTTAATATGTGTGTATTGATGTTGATCCGGTATATTTTAGGGTGCAAGTACGATATATGGACAGATGCGTGATTGTAAATATATATTTACACATGTAGATATGAGTAGGTGGTTGAGATTGAAGCGTAGAAATATACTGGATGCATGGTTGATGAATGACGATGGAGTCTGGATTAATGGATGGCGGAAAGGTGGATTGATGGAAAGATGATGGATGAATATGTGGTCGAATAATAAAAGGGTTGATACATGGATGTTGGAGTGAGTTGGGTTTAACATCGCTTTTAACAGTATTACAGTTATATCGCGGCGTGTCAGCTTCATGTGGGAGGAAAGCCCGAAGTGATGCAGGTCTCAGACGTTTACCACTTCGGTGAAACCCACGAGCACGGGTATGGTGCTGACAAACCTTGAAACATAATCGGGGCGGACCGGGATTCGAACCCACAATCATACGTTTCTGGCGTGCCCAAGGGACGCAACTCTCCACAGCGAATTGTGGCGCCTTAGACGACATGGCCACCCACGGCCCCTGTTGGATAGAGGATAGATAGGTGGATATATAGGTATTGGGTGGATGGATGATGTTTGGTGTGTGGATGATGTTTGGTGTGTAGATTATGTTTGGTGTGTGGATGATGTTTGGTGGGCGGATGATGTTTGGTGTGTGGGTGATGTTTGGTGTGTGGATGATGTTTGGTGTGTGGATGATGTTTGGTTGGTGGATGATGTTTTGTGTGTGGGTGATGTTTGGTGTGTGGTTGATGTTTGGTGTGTGGATGATGTTTTTTGTGTGTTGGTGATGTTTGTTGTGTGGGTGATGTTTGGTTTGTGGATGATGTTTGGTGTATGGGTGATGTTTGGTTTGTGGATGATGTTTGGTGTGTGGGTGATGTTTGGTGTGTGGATGATGTTTGGTGTGTGGGTGATGTTTGGTGTGTGGGTGATGTTTGGTGTGTGGATGATGTTTGGTGTGTGGGTGATGTTTGGTGTGTGGATGATGTTTGGTGTGTGGATGATGTTTTGTGTGTGGGTGATGTTTGGTGTGTGGATGATGTTTGGTGTGTGGATGATGTTTGGTTGGTGGATCATGTTTGGTGTGTGGATGATGTTTGGTTGGTGGATGATGTTTGGTGTGTGGGTGATGTTTTGTGTGTGGGTGATGTTTGGTTGGTGGATGATGTTTGGTGTGTGGGTGATGTTTTGTGTGTGGGTGATGTTTGGTGTGTGGATGATGTTTGATGTGTTGATGATGTTTGGTGTGTGGATGATGTTTGGTGTGTGGGTGATGTTTGGTGTGTGGATGATGTTTGGTGTGTGGATGATGTGTGGTGTGTGGGTGATGTTTGGTGTGTGAATGATGTTTTGTGTGTGGGTGATGTTTGGTGTGTGGATGATGTTTGGTGTGTGGATGATGTTTGGGGTGTGGGTGATGTTTGGTTGGTGAATTATGTTTGGTGTGTGGGTGATGTGTGGTGTGTGGATGATGTTTGGTGTGTGGGTGATGTTTGGTGTGTGGGTAAAGTGGTTGGTGTGTGGATGATGTTTGGTGTGTGGGTGATGTTTGGTGTGTGGGTGATGTTTGGTGTGTGGATGATGTTTTGTGTGTGGGTGATGTTTGGTGTGTGGTTGATGTTTGGTGTGTGGATGATGTTTTTTGTGTGTTGGTGATGTTTGTTGTGTGGGTGATGTTTGGTTTGTGGATGATGTTTGGTGTATGGGTGATGTTTGGTTTGTGGATGATGTTTGGTGTGTGGGTGATGTTTGGTTTGTGGATGATGTTTGGTGTGTGGGTGATGTTTGGTGTGTGGGTGATGTTTGGTGTGTGGATGATGTTTGGTGTGTGGGTGATGTTTGGTGTGTGGATGATGTTTGGTGTGTGGATGATGTTTTGTGTGTGGATGATGTTTGGTGTGTGGATGATGTTTGGTGTGTGGATGATGTTTGGTTGGTGGATCATGTTTGGTGTGTGGATGATGTTTGGTTGGTGGATGATGTTTGGTGTGTGGGTGATGTTTTGTGTGTGGGTGATGTTTGGTGTGTGGATGATGTTTGGTGTGTGGGTGATGTTTTGTGTGTGGGTGATGTTTGGTGTGTGGATGATGTTTGATGTGTTGATGATGTTTGGTGTGTGGATGATGTTTGGTGTGTGGGTGATGTTTGGTGTGTGGATGATGTTTGGTGTGTGGATGATGTGTGGTGTGTGGGTGATGTTTGGTGTGTGGATGATGTTTTGTGTGTGGGTGATGTTTGGTGTGTGGATCATGTTTGGTGTGTGGATGATGTTTGGTGTGTGGATGATGTTTGGGGTGTGGGTGATGTTTGGTTGGTGAATTATGTTTGGTGTGTGGGTGATGTGTGGTGTGTGGATGATGTTTGGTGTGTGGGTGATGTTTGGTGTGTGGGTAAAGTGGTTGGTGTGTGGATGATGTTTGGTGTGTGGGTGATGTTTGGTGTGTGGGTGATGTTTGGTGTGTGGATGATGTTTTGTGTGTGGGTGATGTTTGGTGTGTGGATGCTGTTTGGTGTGTGGATGATGTTTGGTTGGTGGATGATGTTTTGTGTGTGGGTGATGTTGGTTGGTGGATGATGTTTGGTGTTTGGATGATGTTTGGTGTGTGGGTGATGTTTGGTGTGTTGATGATGTTTGGTGGATGGATGATGTTTGGTGTGTGGATGATGTTTGGTGTGTGGATGATGTTTGGTCGATGGATGATGTTTGGTGGGTTGATTATGATTGTAGGTTGATATATGGATGGGTAGATAGGGTTAGCTGTTTGCCTGAGGACCGTGACAGTCTCATGGAATTACTCAAACCAACCTCATACAGGAATAAGGAAACGTTTACCTCTTCAAACACACTGTCCTCTTCGTCCTCGCTTGAGTCGTACAGTAGAGGTTCCCCGGTGCCGTATTTGGTAAAGTAATGGACGAAGGCGAACTCTAGTATGGTGGCCAAAACAAAGGCAAAGCACACAGCTACATACATGTCTAGGGCCGTGATATAGGATATCTTAGGAAAATCAGTCTTGTTTTCAATTCCACAAATCGTCATGGTCAAAACAGTTGTTGTTCCTGAAAAATAGATGAGCAATGTGGATATGGATGTGTTTACTAATGGTTTATTGACAAGTAACGACACGGTTATAGATGCTATACCACGGTAACCATGAAGCTATACCATGTAACTCATATACCAAAGCCCAAGCTTACAAGTAATGCCTGAAAGGGGGGGTCTAGGCCTATCCCCCCGGGCAGGTACCCACGATCAACTACCCCAGGAGGGCTGGCACGGGAAGGGGGATTAGACCTTGGGGTAGTTGACCTTGGAGGTGGGGAGAGAGAATAAGCCAGAGACCAATAGGCTGTGGGCCGGGGGGCCTGAATAGGGGAGGGGGCGAGGCATAGTAGTGGAGTTGGGGTGGGGGGTTAACGCCGTTTTTCCAAGTATTCCAGTGATATCATTGCGTGGTACCTTCATGTGGGAAGGAAGACAATAGCGATACGGGTCTCTGACGGTTTACCACTTTGGTGAAACCTACAAGCACGGATATGGTACAAACCAAGAGACATTATCGGGCGGACTGGGAATCGAACCTGCAATCATAGGTTTCTGGCGTGCTCAAGGGACGCAACACTGCACTGCGAATTGCAATGCCTCAGACTGCCCCCAGGTACAAAGAGTACTATCTATTAATGAGTAAGGAGGGACATGCTCACTGCACACCAAGCGGATCATGGTGATAGTGTTGAAGGCTTCATAAACTGTTCCGCCACTATTCTTTTCAAAGTAAAATAGACACTACGAAGACACTTGCGGCATGCAGTTTGACGGAGATTTGTTTGGTTTGTGAGAACATACTAATAATGAGGTTCTTAAATCACTAAACAGGCGAGTATGCATTTCCTCCAATCATCCATGCGTGAAGGTTACAGATCAAAGATTACAGCCGACCACAGATATCATCATACTGATCACTGCCATAACGGCAATGGTATTAGGTGTTCGCCCACTGTCAACACACAGATCACTGGCATAAAAGCATGGTACTAGGTGTTCGCCCACTGTCAACACACAGTTCACTGACATAAAAGCATGGTATTAGGTGTTCGCCCACTGTCAACACACAGTTAACTGACATAAAAGCATGGTACTAGGTGTTCATACACTGTCATCACACAGTTCATTGACATAAAAGCATGTTACTAGATGTTCGCCCACTGTCAACACACAGATCATTGACATAAGAGCATGGTACTAGGTGTTCAGAAAACTGTCAACATACAGTTCACTGACATAAACACATGGTTGTAGGTGTTCACACACTGTCAACACACTGTTTACTGACATAAAAGCATGGTACTAGATGTTCACACACTGTCAACACACAGTTCACTGACATAAAAGCATGGTTGTAGGTGTTCGCCCACTGTCAACACACAGTTTACTGACATAAAAGCATGGTTGTAAGTGTTCACACACTGTCATCACACAGATCACTGACATAAACACACGGTTGTAGGTGTTCGCCCACTGTCAACACACAGTTCACTGACATAAAAGCATGGCACTAGATGTTCGCCCGCTGTCAACACACAGTTCACTGACATAAAAGCATGGCACTAGATGTTCGCCCGCTGTCAACAAACAGATCACTGACATAAAAGCATGGTACTAAGTGTTCGCCTGCTATCAACACACAGATCACTGACATAAACACATGGTTGAAGGTGTTCACACACTGTCAACACACAGTTCACTGATATAAGAGCATGGTACTAGATGTTCACACACTGTCAACACACAGTTCACTGACATAAACACATGGTTGTAGGTGTTCGCCCACTGTCATCACACAGTTCACTGACATAAAAGCATGGCACTAGATGTTCGCCCACTGTCAACACACAGATCACTGACATAAAAGCATGGTTGTAGGTGTTCACAAACTGTCATCACACAGAACACTGACATAAAAGCATGGTACTAGGCGTTCGCACACTGTCAACACACAGTTCACTGACAGAAGAGCATGGTACTAGGCGTTCGCACACTGTAAACACACAGTTCACTGACAGAAGAGCATGGTACTAGGCGTTCGCACACTGTCAACACACAGATCACTGACATAAAAGCATTGTTGTAGGTGTTCACACACTGTCAACACACAGTTCACTGACAGAAGAGCATGGTACTAGGCGTTCGCCCACTGTCAACACACAGTTCACTGACAGAAGAGCATGGTACTAGGCGTTCGCACACTGTCAACACACAGTTCACTGACAGAAGAGCATGGTACTAGGCGTTCGCACACTGTCAACACACAGATCACTGACATAAAAGCATTGTTGTAGGTGTTCACACACTGTCAACACACAGTTCACTGACAGAAGAGCATGGTACTAGGCGTTCGCACACTGTCAACACACAGATCACTGACATAAAAGCATTGTTGTAGGTGTTCACACACTGTCAACACACAGTTCACTGACAGAAGAGCATGGTACTAGGCGTTCGCACACTGTCAACACACAGATCACTGACATAAAAGCATTGTTGTAGGTGTTCACACACTGTCAACACACAGTTCACTGACAGAAGAGCATGGTACTTGGCGTTCGCCCACTGTCAACACACAGTTCACTGACAGAAGAGCATGGTACTAGGTGTTCGCACACTGTCATCACACAGTTCACTGACAGAAGAGCATGGCACTAGATGTTTGCACACTGTCATCACACAGATCACTGACAGAAGAGCAAGGTACTAGGTGTTCGAACACTGTCATCACACAGATCACTGACATAAGAGCATGGCACTAGATGTTTGCACACTGTCATCACACAGATCCGTGACAAAGAAGCATGGAACAAGGTGTTTGCCCGCTGTCGTTACACAATTCACTGACATAATATCATTATACACTACTAACGTAAAAGAAAGGTACCAGGTGTTCGCACACTGTTATCACAAAGTTCACTGACATAATATCATTACTCACTACTGACGTAAAAGAATGGTACCGGGTGTTCGCACTGTTATCACAAGTTCACTGACATAATATCATTACTCACTTCTGACTAAAAGAATGGTACCAGGTGTTCGTCCATTGTCATTACACTCACTACTGATATACTTCAACTTTGTATACAGTGTCTCCAGGAAAAAGTGGCATTTGCATGCAACGAAATCTTTCGTTTGAGAGCACTCCTCAACTCAACTGATCCACTGGAAATCTCGTGTTTATCACACGTCTCAGCCGTATACCTATATGTACATGCCTAGTGACTGTACAGGTCTGAATCATTGATACAGCTAAGTTTATTGCCGGCCTATCTTTTATCTCAATTCCCTGACCATAATTAAACACCAACAGTACAGAAAGATCCTCGTCCATCAGTGTTTGGGTCTACACCATCAGGGAGTATCAAACTGCAATTCCCCATGTACGTCAAGCATAGCGGGAACAACCCGGGGTTTTGTATCATGGTGAGCCCTGTGTTGGCAGCTGTTGGCATGGTTCCAGCACCAATAACAGTGGAATGATAAAAAAAAATATTGAGCACAAAGAGATAATATTCCTCAGCATGAATAATCTTCGTTCCCAAGTGGGTAATAAAGCCATTTAGGACTTTCACACACTCATATCAACACTTTGAATAACTAAAACAAAAGAAGAAATGCTTTGAAATCCTTTAATAATAGATCGAATCGAAAGAAATTCTATCCGAAATTGGAAGATAATCCGTTAAGAAATGCAAAGGAGACTGACATCGATTTCTTTTTAGCAAAAACAATAGCTACCAAATCGCCTTAATGACTTGGAAAGATTCATCAAAGGTAATGTTGAAGTGCCTAATAGGAAGTTATCTCATAAACTGACGATTATTCTTAAAAATGTAAGAACAGCATAAACAGCAACATGATTTACAAGGGTTATTAAATACTGTATAAGACAAACACACTTCTATAATAATTGTATTAGTAATTTTGCTGTCTTTGTTTATATATATATTGCATCAAACTGCATTGGTATGTCTTGACAAGTGGTTTGTTGTGTGCACAATCAGAAGACTGATCAATCTGTGACAAAAGCGACAAAACAATGGTCATAAATATTAACTAAAAGGACAAAACCCTTTCCACAATCAGAAGACATTTCTGCTGAATGGCACAGTCCATTGCAGTCTTCCGGCTATATTAAAGTGTTTACGAGTCACTATCAAATAGCGATGATAACAGGTGTTCGCAAACAGGGGAGCCTATTATCCTTTCCAACCGGTGATACCTGTCACAAACACATACAAAGTCAAGTCAATTCTTCACCTGAACACCTTCATCACATTTCTGCAGTGTAGTATTTGCTGCTTGGTGTATCGCTAATGCTTATGATACATGTTACATGGTTGATGACATAGTATTATGTTTGATGACATGTATTCGTGTGCTTTCCAATAAATAGCCATGAAGTCAGAGCCATTTTTACTTCAACCAAGAAGAGAGGTTCTGAAAATGTGGATGTGAGACCTCTAATACAAACACATGTTGAACCCCTCCCTGGTAAACTGTATGCAACTGCATTGGCACGTCTCGACGTTTCTTTTGTACAAAAAAGAAACAATTGCATTCTTTATGAAAGTTTATTAAGAGACTAATCCATGATTGTCCAGTTCATTTTCAATTTGTCACCAATATGAGTTTCGTATATTCTTATTGCACGCAATTAGGTAGATTATATTGACAACGAATATAAAATAATGCATTTTGATTCAACCTAGCTGATATCAATCAACACAGAAGAAAGGAAATCATAATGTTGGTTCAGGTTTATTTTCACATCCCAATAATAATAAATAAAAGCGACAAAACCCTTGTCATATTTCATAAGAAATCTGTGCCAAACATCCGGTTGTACGATTCCGGTTAAATCATGAGCATGTCACTATCAATTGTGATGATACCAGGTGTCCGCGAAAAGGTGAGGGTATCCTGCCCCACCGGTGGCACCCGTCACAAACACATGCATAGGCAAGTCAATTGTTATCCGAAAAAAAGCCGGAATGATATGATACAA